TTCTTTCTTAGGCCTGGTCACCCAGGGAACCTGCTCTTTCCAGCACAGGGCTGCACCGCCTTCCCCATTGTAGGTTTTTAGGTTTAAGTGGATTAGAGCCAGGAAGCACTTCTCCCAGAGGACATGTCAGAACAGCTGGGGGGTAAGGGTTCATCGCTCCCTTTGTCACAGTCCCCCTCCCCAGTCCTTCCATGATGGCCTCCCAAGTGATCGTGTCTGGCTTAGGTCGCCCCTCCTCTGAGGAGTCTTACCCGTCATGGGCGATCCGACCATGCATTGGGGGCAGGGGAGGAAGCAGAGGCAGCGTTTGCTACCAGAGACAAGCTTTGTCTCCTAGTGGCTCGCATTCCGGAGGTTGCTCACTCATCCTTAGCCATGGGAGGCAGTTACAACTCCTGAAACCAGGCAGAGCGGTTCCCGACGTTGTGGGATTAGACTTAATCTTTAAAAAATTCACACATTCATAGAAAAGCTTACAAGGACATATTCCTCCTTCGAGTTTCTCTTACAGCAATCTTTCTCAAATGACAACGTCCAAAAGATTTCCTTGGGATTTTATTACACAGATTCTGATTCAGTAGCTCTGAGGTACAGCCTGAGAGTCTGCATTTCTAATGAGTGTCTCGGTGAGGTCAGTGCTCTGGCCCCCTTGAGGGGAGAAGAGGGCTCTGTCTCTGTCAGTACTGGCCTTCCGGTTCCAGAATCCATGAGTATTGGTTATACTGTGGTGGACTCTGGCCAGCAGAGTCTGCCTGTTGTGGCTGATGACGAGAATGAATGCACAGGCGACAACAGTCCTGTGTGGAGAAAGGGAATAGCACAGCTACTCTCTCAAGGGGAAAGTGCCTATGGTGCCTTGCCCACTCCCTCAAGAGGGGAGCGCCCCGACCCTTGCCTAGAGAGGCTTTTATTGTTTTCCTGGAGTCTTACACTATAGAAAGATTTATTATCTATCACATAGAATATTATTGTCTACATTCTAGGTCAATCAAGAAAATGAAAATAATATGAAAAGGGGAATGACGATGAGCTCATTAGCTCTGTCCTTGGGAAAACTCATACAGGCTTTGGATATTACCTTGAAGATAGACAATACACATTTGTTGTTTTAGACCAGGGTGATGGAGTTTTAGCAAGAGCAAGCCATAACAGTCTGTATGCATTTTCTAGGCCTTATTCCCACAGGAAAACTCGGTTTGAAGGTCTGGCTCCTGCTGTAGGTTTTCCATGCAGAGCTGACTGAGTCACATTTGCCAGATCAAAACAAACTGGTCCCCTACATTATACCACAATCCTTCCCTTGGGATACTGATAAGATTAACAAACCCTCTTTATTTTTCCCATGAGATTATTTGGACTACCGTTTCTTGCAACCAGAGAGCTCTGATAAACCCCCTAGTAGCCAGCTGTAAGTTCTGTAAGATCAGGGGGTACTTGTTGTCCAGCGACGTATCCCTTGAAGCTCCTACACATGTGCTTGGCACCTATGAAGTACCCCATAAGTGGATAATGAATGCAACAGCCCCGATCCCGATGGCAGGATCCGGTGAGGACCCCAACCCCGTATAGTATGCTCCCTGGCAGTCAGCGAGGGCAAGTCCCAGGGACTCAGAGGCTGCCCCATCTGGGTTTCCCACTGCTACACCGGCAGATCCTGCTTCTCCCTACTTTTCTCTTTCTCTTCCTCTCTGATGTATAAGGTTCTTGCTAAAGAAAGTTTCAAGGGTATGTTTTAGCTCACTTATTTTGAAAAATCAAGTCTTTGACACTTTACAAAATTTTATTTTTACTGTCCAAAATAGAATCATGTACAAAATGGTATTTACTCCAGAATTTCATTATTTCTAACTTGTCATCTTTTCATAAAATGACAGAGGTCCCATTAAAAATCAAGTCACTTCAATCTAATCTAAATAGTTTCAAGCTAATCCATATCTGAAATGTGTGTTATTTCATCTTTTATATTCTTAATCTCAGCTTGGACTGTGGTGAAATTAGATATTTTTTCATTTAAGAAAGCAATTTCTTTCTCTCTTTGTAGTAAGTCAGCAACCAGTCTCCCAATGCGTAGTGTTAAATCGTTTACCAATGGTTCCAAACGGGAAAAATCCTTCTTTAGATTATACACCTTTGGCTTTAGATCATTAGCAAAAGTCACTGTCTTCAGAACTTTAGCTCTATCACTTTCTAAGCTTAAAAACCTATCTGTGTGCTTGTTGAAATCACTCTTGAGCTCTGAAAGCACCTTCTTAACAGAGTTAATTCTCTGTGAATTTTCTGATGCTGTCTTTCGGAGCACTGCTGTTCGGTCAATGCTACTTGAAAGAAGATCACCTATGTTTTTTACTGTATTTTTCTCTACTTTTTCTATTTTGTTTTCAAGTTCTTGCACAGAATCTTTCAATGATGTTATCTCAGTTACTAAGCCTGAAATACGTCGTATATCTGTTTTTATAGTTGTAGTCTTGAGACTAATATCTTTTGCCATGGAAATTGTATTTTGGTCTACTTCTGTAATATCTTGAGAAAGAGTTGTCAAATTGTTGTTCAGCGTATCCTGTTTTTCAGTTATCTTGTTGGACCAAGCTTTCAGCTCGGAAACTTCCTCTTGTAGCCGCTTTAGATGAGCAATTATTTGAAAAGACTTCAGTTGTTCCATGATAGCTTCAGACTTCTGACACTATAAGAAAATACAATACCACAATAATTAAATTGGCTAAAAGCTTAACTTGAAATTCAACTTAAGTTTTATTAGTTTTAACCATAACTTCACTGCTCCTCTGGAAAGCATTTGGTAAAAGATGTATTAAGTGTATTCCTAATGAATAAGGAGGATAACATTAAGGAAATATAAAATGTTACTGGAAACAACACTTTTCAGTTATTATTTTTGTACTATCAATCCTCTGTAGTGACCAAATGACAGTGACTTCTTTTTCAGCTGCTAGAGACGGGAGGAGGAAGGAATATCACATTATTTGGTACAATTCCCGCATTTTACAAATTAAAAACAGCCCTAAAATCAAGGGCCCCAAAACACACAGTTAGTGGCAAGGCCTAGGTCAGAACTGTTCTTCCCCCACCACTGCTTCCCAGCTCTTCCTGAAGCATTCCTTAATTCATTCTCATGCCCAAGACCCAATTTTTCTTCACAGTTACAACTTTTGAGTGACTTACAGTCTAGTTTAATGGTGACATGGCAGTCATCACATACCATCAAAGTTAGCTGAATGACAGCTTTTTGAATCTTCAGGGATGTTCTCCTGACAGATTCCTTGGGATTCTTTCCCTCCCCTGGTTGAACAGCATCAGGTTGCATTGAACAGTGTGAGGTCAGTACCTACTGGAGTTGGACAGACCCAGCAGCTTGACTGCAAGATTCCTAACCTTGCTGAGTCTCAACTTCCTCATTTGTAAAATGGGTCTCATAGCTAGCAAAGCTGTGGTGAACGTTCATGGTGAGACATACAAAATGCCCTACACAATGTCTGAGATCCAGCAGGTACTCAACAGAGAGTTGTTGGGAGGATAATGATGAATGGAGACCTCCTAGCAGTGTGACAGTGTGTTACTTATCTCCTCCCCTGCATGTAAAGCTGGGATGGAGCATTTTGATTTGTATTACATTGACAGTTCATAGCTGAACTGAAATACACAGATGCTGGGTGAATTTGTATAGCTTTTGCCAACTGCGAATATGAGAGGTAAGGCTATAGAAAAAAGGGGGGTTTGTTTGTTTGTTTTGGTTTGTGCATTTGGTGAATTTACAGCATCATTATTATACAATGAGATCATATTAAGCTTTGATCAAGATTATAGATTCAGCTCCGGCTGGGTAGTTCAGTAGGTGTGAGCATCATCCCGATAAGACAAGGCTGTGGGTTTGATCCTTGGCCATGACGCAAACAAAAATCAACCAATGTATGTATAAATAAGTGGAAAAACAAATTGATGTTTTTCTCTCTCCCTCTCCCTTCCTCTCTCTCTAAAATAAAAAAAGATAATAGATTCTGTCAAAGGTTTACAAGTAGGTTGAGATTAAAAATAATGCCATTAACTTTGTAACTTACAAGTTTACTTTTCTATGAAACCATGCAAATGAATAAATCAACATTTTTTCACTATAAAAAAGAAAAGTATGACTAGTCAACAGCTTCTAATAAAAAATTAAAGAGATGAAAGCATAAATATACTTTGGAAATTTACATCCAAGAGTTTAAAAAAATTAGGTGTTTGTTTTATAAAAGTGAATTATATGTGTGCTAAATGTTCTTTTTAGTTTAATTTTTTAAAGATTCTATTTACTTATCTTTAGAGGGGAAGGGAAAGAGAGGGAGAGAAATATCAACGTATGGTTGCCTCTTGTGCATCCCCCGCTGGGAACTGGCCTGCAACCCAGGTATGTGCCCTGACTGGGAATCAAACTGCGATCCTTTGTAAATGTTCTTTTTTAAATGAGTCCAGTATTCTGTATCAGAAACCAATTCATATAAAATCAATTATCAATTACAAAGATATAAAAGTGTGTCAGAATAGGGTAATTTGCCCTGGCTGGTGTGACTCAGTGGATTGAATACCGGCCTGTGACCAAAAAAAAGGGTCGCTGGTTCGATTCCTAGTCAGGGTACATGCCTAGGTTGTAGGCCAGGTCCCCAGTAGCGGGTGTGTGAGAGGCAACCACACATTGATATTTCTCTCCTTCTTTGTTTTCCTCTGTTCTCCTCCATCTAAAAATAAAGTGAAATACAAAAAAAGAATATGGTAATCTTCCTTAAGGAAAGATCAACAATGAAATTCAGTATTTGATATATAGGGAAGTTGTTGAAATTTCAAGTATTTCTGTTAAATAAATGAATGTAAGAAACAGAGGAAGATAAATCGAGTACATCTAAAACTCTCTAATAACATTTTTAAATAGCAAAACCTGTGCATAAAGGAATATATGCACAAAATAGTTTTCTCACGAAATCCTGTAGAAGGGCAGTTTTTGTTTCCCTTGTAACTGCCACCATAGAGCACAGTGGCCACACTGTTTCCTTTTATTTTCTGTAAATATTTATTTTACTATGATATACACAAGTTAATAATAATAATGAGGTATCAAATACAGTGCTAGACCAGAAAAAAAAAGTGGAAGTGAAGAATACAAGAGATCAGCATCTCATCTTACAGGATGGATGTTGAAAGAACAAAGTTCCAGCTCACTTTATAATCTATTTTATTAGCATGAAAATAGAAGCAAACAAATACAATTTTGTCAGTGCACATAGACATGAACTTACAAATTCAGACTTTAAGCAATTTAATGTTAGGATTCCAGCAATTAATGCTATGCCTTTTTAATAGTAGCACACTTCCATTTTTATGATCAATGGCTGTCTACCATAGAAGAACATGTTTGGAATGTTTCAAAAAATGTGCAGATTTACATAGTAAATCTACATGACCACAACTGCCTTTTGTAGCCAAGTGCTTTCAAGTTCCTTGTGCTTAATTCCACTGAAATTGCATTATAAAACCGGGACTTCAGTTGATTATTGTTAAGAATAAACAAGAAGGAACAGGACTTCCACATGCAGTTGACTCAGTTTTCAGTGCCAAGTTTGGACACTCTTGACACATCCGTTTACCAATAAAAGTCCCAAGGCCTCCCCCAACCCTGCACATTTCTGATTATCATTATTCAAAAAATACAGCTGGATCTCTGCTTAATCATATCTTATTCCTTGTGACTCTGTTACAGAGTTTTGAGTAAAATAAAATCACTGTATGAAACAACCTTGGTTGGGCAATTAGTTTGGAGACTCTTTAAAATGATGGACTTTTAATTACCTTAATTTTCATCATCTCTTTTTTCAGTTTTATTTTTGTGTTTATGTGTACTCAGCCCACCGTGGGGAGTGACCCTGGGGCAAAGGAGAGAGGGCAAGGGCTGAAGAGCAGAGCCTTTTAAATTGGTTTCATTAAATCCTGAGCCTAAATTGGAGAGGCAGGAAGTTTGTACCTCTGGATGAGTAACCTAACCCTAACCCCAAGCACATGCACCTACCCCCCAACCCCTGCACTCTGCACCAGGAACCCAGAGGAGAGCCCAGAGTTGGGGGAAGCTGAATTGGCCCTGGGAAAGGTAAAGCCCTGAGGCCTCGTCCTCTGAGCATTTGGCACATCTGCCTGTGGCCTTAGTTTGCAGCCCCATGTCGCACATTTCTGTTTGTGGTGCAGTTCCCAGCTGGTGCGTTAAAGGCTTAACTTGTCTTGACTTTAACAAACAGCACAAGCAGACTGCCCGGCAAATAAATATCTCTTAAGTGTCATTATCCACGAATATTGACTTAACTCTTGTCAGGTAAATGGCACCATTCTGGTCCTTGGGGGTATAGTAGTGAACAGAAGAGATAAATCCTTGCATTCCTAGAACTTATACTGGGGATAATAGTTCATAAAACTTGGTACACAGAAAGTTTGTTAAGGGGATAGAGAGTTGGAAGTTTACAGTTTTAGATGGGGGTGGTACAGGTAGAGGGTTAAGGGAAGGTAATATTTGAGAAAGACCCTCAAGGACAGGAACATTCTAGGCAGAAAATTGGTGTTAAGAGTGTGAGCAAGGAAGGAGGGAAAGTGTGGAAAGAGGTGAGGCTGGAGAGTTAGGGAGGTAGCAGGTTGGCTCTCATTTTTTCTCATTTTGCTGCTTTTTCCTCTTTAAAGTAGGCCACAGGCTTTTGGTGTGTGGTTTCTCTGGAGATCCTGTATCTAGTAAACTCAAGACTCTGTAATACACTTAGAACCTTTAAAAAAAAAACCCAGCTATGCAGAGATATTCCAAAAGTCCGTACTTCGAAGCATACACACTTAATTCATAGGAAAAACCTTCAGTAAAAATGTACATGGAGGGGCAAAAGTAGGCCTACAGTTACTCATAAGGAAGAGAATACAGTAATTAATAAGTAATAATATAAGAATATACTGTTCCATGTACTCACAACTGTAAACTACTTTCACCTGACTCTGTATTTACTACTATTTAAAAATTCTCACAAGTGTCTGTAACACAGTTTAGAACCTTAACAAAAAGTAAAAAAAAAAAAAAGTTTCCAAGACTCCATAGTTTTCAAAAAGTGCATATTAATTCATAGCAAAGCACCCCAGCTTGCCCTTGGGCCTGATATCTTTTATTTTAGAGAAAATTTCTATGAACTCCACTGTCTGGATTCTTAGCCAGTAGTAAATTACGAAAAAAAAAAAATGAAGACCTGGCTGCAACTGGCATTTTACCAACTGACCTGACAGAAAGATCAGGTCAGGTCACCTTTTTGGGTGACAGAAATGGTAGAACAAGTACGATAGATATAAGGTTTGAAAAATAGCACACTGGGGTCATTTAGTGAGTAGGTAATCCTCCCTGGCTCCTAGAGACATTAATATGTTTGTATATTAATAAAAATAGGTGAAATTCACAATGATGACTATTAATGATAAGAAAAACATTTAAAAATATTAAGTATATTGCTTCTTAAAAAGTAGAGAAATATATATTTTAAAAATATTTCTGGTTAAAATGAAATAAGTTTTATTGCTTAAAGAGATCGGCTTTGAGCATCGGGATAATCCATCTGTGTGGACATCTCACTTCTTTCCCCATAACGTAGGACGATGATGATGTGAGACACCATCACACAACGCCGAAGTGTGGAACCAATCAATTGATGCATAGTAATATGGTTCATCAGAATAGGTGCAGTGCATTTAGAAATCACTATCGATTCCTTTATTTTCCAGATTACGTTCTTCTAAAGCCCCCTTTTCTCTTGTATTCGAATGTACTATAAAGTCATGAACTTTTCCTTTCAGAACATCCAGTTCATTTTGCATCTTTAACATGCTGTTATCATACTGAAGTCCTTCAAGGGTTTTCTGCATCTCCATGATCTCAGATACTGCTTTGAGCATATCGTCTTCCATATTAAACATCTGAATAGTTAAGTCTTCCATTTTCTTTTCTGTCCCTATCAGATCCTGAGAAACTTTGAGAACAGAGCGAATTGCACTTTCTATGGTTGGCAAATGTGTCTTGCATTCTTCCACATTGGGTCCGTAGCTGGAAAGCTTGTTGGTCAGGTCTTCATCTCTGGCAAAGAGGGCATGCTGTTCCTCTTCCAGCTTTTCCACTGCTCTTGTATCAGAGCCCAGCTGCTCCTCGACCCGCAGAAGATCCTCTTCTTCTTGTCTTTTCACTGTTCTAATATTTCTGAGTGTGCTGTCTTCTAAATCTTTTAGCCTTTCAGTGAGCAATTTTATTCCTTGTTCAGCTGAGTTAATTTGGACAGTAACTTGAGAATGTATATGCTTTGATTCCGACTTGAAAATGTCTGTATTAACATTCATTTCTTCTAGGCTTCTCTTCCAGAGATTCGTAACATTGTGGAATTTCTCATTAAGGCTTTGCATCTCTTGAGTGAGCATCTCTTCATTATTTTGAATGTCATGCATGACATGCTGGAGGCTGGACACTTCCTGCTCAAACTGGGTCACCAAAGAAATGGATGATGTAGCTTCCTGCAGGATACTTTCAGTAGACTCAAGCTGCATTTATAACACAAAACAATTCCCAAGGCCACTTAATAAGTTTTATATTAGGGAAACACACTTTAACAAGCATGTGCCAAGTTCAAATTCTGAAGATGTCTAAAATACCAATATATCAGAACCATACTGACAAATACATTTGTTACTTTAATGCTGTCTTAAAATACTCAAAACAGATTTAGTAGGTCAACACTATAGCAGAAAAATACACACCTGAATTTATAATCCTAAATATTGGCACACTTTTATGGAGGGCTATTCAAGTGAAAAATAATGCTAAAGGAACCTGAAGTTTATTACATTTCTTTCTTTTTTCACTCCAATAGAAAGCAACTTAGTTGTCATTTAAATGGCTATTTGGCTTTTTTAGACACTGTAAATAGTTACAAAACTTATTAACAGAAACAGATATCACAAAGGCAAAATGAATTTAAAAAACCCCACAGTTTAATGAGACAACTTACATCAGAGAGTAAAGTGTTCTATGTAGCTGCAAATTATGGTAAGCTCCTGGCATGTTCCAATATATGTCTGGAACATACATGGGCCAGGCTGTGGACCTCTCTTAGTCTACACTCACATAGATAACAGCCTCAGAGGCACAGGAAGGCCTAGAAATGAACGTCAACTTATCAAATGTTTGAAGCCTTGTGTTGAAGGCAGTTACTGTATAAGACACAGTTCTGCCCTTCAATGGCATAGTTTAACTGGGGAGAAAGCCAAGTCTATATGACAGGGGAAGAACTATGGAAGCACAGACATGCGGCACCCAAACAGAACTTCGATGACCAAGGAAAATATTCTAGAAGCATTATTTAATCTCTGCTTCCAGTTACTTCCTCTAAATTATTCTACACACTACAGCCAGATTAAGCTTTTAGAAACTGCGATGTACATCATAGTACGACATAAAAAATTCCACAATGTTTCCTAATACTTCTGGGATCAAGTGCCAAATTCTATAACCTCTTTCTATGCTCGTCTTCCTTCCTCTTTGCTTAGCTGAGTTCTGTCCTTCCTTCATGGCTCAGACCAGATCTCAGCTTGCCAGCGGAGCGTTCTGCCATAGCCCTGAGCTGACAGTTCGAACTCATGCAGCACATACCGTATTGTGCATTTGCCATCTGTTTTCCATTGAGTGTACATAATTCAAGAATTTTTGAGTGATCACTCCGTGCCAGACCTGTGCTAGATAGACTCTGGGTATAAAAATATAGATACAGTATAGTTCCTGGCTTCACAACTGGGTTAAGGGAGATAGTGCCTTGGACCTTTTACATCCTATATTCTAGAGTTCCAGTAAGACTTATTAAGTGTCCTCTGTTTCATTATTAGGCAGTAGGGATATAATCATAAGAGATACCGCGTTTGTCCTAAAGATCAGTAAAGGAGACAAATTAACAATGTCAAAAGATCACAATAGGTTATGATTCGTGTCATGACAGAAATAGCACGGGAGAACGGATGCTTGGAGGCAAGGTCAGACTCTGGGTGTCAGTGAGGAAAGACTGAGAAGTGACTCTGAAATCCGACCCTTCAACAGACTGATGAGTTAGCCAGGTAAAGACAGGAGAGCTTCCAAATTCTTTAGGGGAAGAGACCATGTCTTATGCATTTTTGTAGTCCCTGTATCTTGGGGTGTACAGAACATGTTTACTGATTTTTAAGAAGAAAAATGGCCATAAATCCTCTGCCCCAACCCCAATCATACCTGAAGCAGTTCCAGGTGACAGTGGGAACAAATGTGTGACAGTACAATAAGACAGTGCTGAGACCTTGTTTACAAGTTGTTTTTAATGTGCACATGCACCCCTAACACAAGGTCCTTTAAAAAGCAATTCTGAGAAATATGTGCACATTGGTAGCACTGCTAGGTTTAGCTGTCTTATTAGCAGCATTTGGAAGAGGCAAGCCTGTCTTCACCTAAGGTAACCCCTGTCTGGGCTGCTCATCAGAGTATAACCTGATGCAGTAGACCCCAAAGGTTGAGAAGATCAACTCTGCAAGATAATAAGGTCTCAAGATTTAATCTGCAAATCGGAGGTGGGGGAAAGTAAGCTTACAGTTGTTCATATTGAAAATAATATGATAATTAATAAATAATAATACAAGAATAAACTTTGTTTTGTGTACTCACAACTGTAAACCACTTTTACCCCATTCTGTATATGGTGCCTAGTAACCAATAGTTAGCACTTATGGACTGCCATATATTCTAATAGTCTTTCATTTGGAAAAAAAAGTTAATACCTTAAATTTATTACTGCTTGAAAGTGTTCATAGAGTTTACATATATATTTTATCTCATCTGATCTTTAGAGAAAAACTTGTTACTCTCGCTTAATGAATACGGAAATGGAGGCCAAGAGAAGCTGAAGCGATTTTTCCCAAGGTGACGCAGTCGTGATGGGAGCCCATCTTACTTGCTTTCCCTTCCTACTGCGCGTGCTGCTCATTAGGGTCAGCTTCGCCAAACTGCAGCTATTGTTAAACTATTCCAGGGGCGGAGTAGGACAGAAAGAACTATCAAAGTCTGAATATTTTTTGGATCCTATGGTATTTTAAACATCTGCTTCAAAGAGCATTTTAGCCCTGGCTGGTGTGGCTCAGTGGACTGAGTGCCAGCCTGCGAAGGGTCCCGTTGGACTCCCAGTCAGGGCACGTGCCTGGGTTGCAGACCAGGCCCCTAATAGGGGGCACTTGAAAGTCAACCACATGTTGATGTTTCTCTCTCTTTCTCCCTCCCTCCCTCCCCCTCTTTAAAAATAAATAAATAAAATTTCAAGAAAAAAAAAAAAAGCATTTCAATTGCTACCAAAATTTTCATTTAAAAGGGCAACCTTTCTTCACAATTTGCTTTCAATAGCTTTTAAGCTCATAAACTTTGTCTCCTGGATTGTTTTTTTATCATTATGTTGCTTCTGATTAGATGGTCCCCAACAATCATAACCAGGTTCCAACTTGTCAAAATGTCAATTCTTGCAGCTCCTTCCCAGAGGCCCCTAAGCTCACGTTCGATCCCCTGGTGCATTTAAGGGGATATGGAATTTTCATTGCGGTCTTTATCTTCTGAGGGAGTATATGCTCATCCTGTGCACACGGCTGCAGGAAGTGGGACCCTGTGTTTCATTTATGTTTATTTTTATAACGTCCTTGCTTGCCCTGGTGCCAATCACAAGTCCTGTCTACCTTAGGACACGAGTAAAGATTTACTGGATGAATAAATGAACCAACAAGACAGGTTTCCTGATGACATCTTGGTCCCTAGTAGCCGGGCAAGGCCCACATGATGCCTTATTGATTACAGCAGACCCTCTCCTGAGAAGTGAGGAAGTTAAAATTTTTTGTCTCACATTTCTAAGAATCTCAGAAATAATGCATCTGCATTCACAGGTTGAAGAAACACAACAAAGACATGGATTTTAATTTTCATTTGGCTACAAAATAATTTTTTAGGTCAGTCAGTCTTATATGCACATGTACATATGCTTACCAAGTAGAAAGAAGAGAAGTAAATACTGATGGATCTTTGCTCAACAAACACTTTTCCTACTCTAATTTTACAGCTAAAGATCAATCATATTTTCAGTGCTCTATCTAGCCACTTGATATATAAATAGAAAATTAAGGTCACCTCAATATGAGCACATTTGTCTTTTCAAACAATAACATTAGTTACAGTAAAAAAATCTTTGTCCTTTCAAAATATAGCTTAAGTCTAAATTGGATTGAAGGGACACTGTAAGGCTATAGGAAAAGCTATGAGAGTTCAAACAGCATTGTCTGAAAGGTAGGAAAAAAGAATTTATGGACTGGGATACAATGGTGATAGTGAGGAAGAAAAATGAAAAAATCTTCCTAAATAAGTCAATTAATGATTACCTTTTCTGAAATTAAACTGATTTTACTTCTTAGTCCTTGGAATTCATGGGTTTCTATTTTCAGCAACTGGTATTGGCTTTCCACCTTTGCAAACTTTTCCATCTGCTGAAATACAAACCTGGAAAAGAAAAAGAATCACTATCACCTAATTCAAATCTATTTAAGTCTGAATTTTAAAACAGTACTTTATACCCAGTTCTGGTAGGGACAGCATAAATTCTGGTATGGACAGTGGAGCTTTTGTTAGTTTATTTGAATAAACGTTTACATCCTTACTGATGTGGCTCAGTGGATTGAGTGCCAGCCTGAGAACCAAAGGGTCGCTGGTTCAGTTCCCAGTCAGAGCACATGCCTGGGTTGCGGGCCAGGTCCCTGGTTGGGGATGTATGAGAGGCTACTGGTCAATGTATCTCTCACACATCGATGTTTCTCTCCCTCTCTTTCTCTCTTCCTTCCCCTCTCTAAAAATAAATAAATAAAATCTTTAAAAATATTAACTCTTTAGCATTAAGGAAGATTTTCTAGAAACCAAAAATGTACAATGAGACAAGGTGGCTTCAATTCTGAAAAGCTAATTTTTAAAACAGGTATCCAGATTAGCACCCAAGGTGCTTCATTTTCTTTTTAGATATCAGAGGAATATTTCAACAGTAACTCAAAGTCTCTTCACATTCATCTTCCCAAATTTAGATGAGACAAAGAATTAGGGCTACATCTTGTAGTCGAAGAAAGAAAAGAGCTCTAAGTAGTTCTGCAGCAAGGATTCTATTTCTAGGGCCCTGCCTCTTTCTGGATTAATATCAAAGAGGAGGCAGCATATCATAGTGGTTGAGTAAGGAGCTGGGCAACTTTGGCTCTGCCATTCATTCACTCTCTGTAAAACCACCTTGGGCAAGTTATTTAACTTATCTTTGCTAGAGTTTTCTCATCTGCAAAAAGGGGATACTACCACTTAGTTCACAGGGTTGTCGTACAGATAAATAGGCTCTTATTTACAAAGCTCCCAGACAATGCCTAGAGGGTTGCACCTCAGCTACTCTTCTTTAAGTGCCCTGCCTTTTCTTTTTTTTTTTTTTTTTTTTTTTTTTGTTTTTGTTTTGTTCTTTTTTTCTCGGACTGCTTTGTGCACTGCTTTGGCAGCTGCTCTGCCATCCTGTCATGCCTATAGTGAGTGGTTGATGGAAGCTCCAGGCCTGTGCCCCTTTGAAACCAGGGATGGGTTTATAATGCAAATGAAGGATGCAGTGCAATGAATGGATGATACCACTCACAAGACAACTATTTTCTTATCCTGTTTTGGGGTTTCTTCCCATTATCATATAAGTAAAGGCCTTGAAGGCTTGGGTATAGGAGAAAAAGACAAAGTTAAATGGCTACCATAGTAGGGTTTCCAGAAGGCATCCTTTTGACTCCATAATCCATTGCAGTCTATAGACCTCACATGGGTTCAGGGCCTGGTGGTATTAAACTGTGTATCCCCCTGGAGTGTTGCCTCTGCACAGCTCCTTTAGGAATCTTAGATGGTGGCAGACAGCTGATTGAGGGCCAGTATATTATAGGAGTTTGTCTGGCTGTTTCAACTTAATGAAAAAGACGCAAATAACAAAGCTGTTATAATGGAACTTTGGCAAGAAAAGAAGTTCCAGGGCCACCAATGGTTTCAGTAAACCAGGTAGTCCAGTTTTGTACTACAGCTTAATTTTTGGCGTAATATCGAATGTTCTGAAAAACACTGACTATATTCCATTTTTAAAAAGCAGGACATTTAAAGAATAACTCTGTCTTAAATAAAACTCCATTACCAACAACAAAACGCTGAAAAATGGGGTTAGCCGCACTTTTACTGTATAAATGACTTACAGTGTGTTAGTTAACAAAAAAGTGAGTTACCTGATTGTTTAAAGAGCTTTTGACTTTTTATATATAATTATCTCAAATATGATGAGAAACATTTATAAAGGCAATTTAGGATCTATTGAAATTTCCAGAAGAAACTTACATTTTTAAAAATGGAACTTCTGGTTTTCAATTTATTATTAAATAAACTAGTAAAATATTATTTGTGACTTGTTTAGTAATTTTACAACTTAAACTTTTTGAAAATGGAATTTCTTCAATCCTCTTATCTGAAAAATTTCCTTAAGAGTTTATAAACAAAGTCTGCAAACTAGCACTCAAAGCCAAGTAGTTTTGGGCAACTGTTATCTCCAATGTCTTTTTGTTAAACTGACAGACACATAAGGACTTTATCCGTTACACATTATCTTTGCTTGCTCCCTGAACCTGACTCCCAAGACTAAAGGCCTGAAGACACTGAGATACTGATCTCTTCAAATCCTCCTTGGGCAGTGCAAGGGTTTAAACTCCCTCTCCCAATTTAAGTGTAAAAGGATGGATAAGCTGTGTTGATAGGCACATATACTTCAATGTTGTATTTTAACAATTATGGACAGTGTCAGACTAGTAAGCATTCAATATCTGACAAACTGACCTTTAGATGCTGATGAAGTATGTGTTCTAGAGGTAAAAATCTCTATGGCTTTATTATAATTCCAGTATTCTGAGAGGACAAAGCCATTATTCTCTGGAGCATTTTACATCTTGCTTCCTGACGACTGTCATCAGTTTGGGTTCAAATAAACTATTAATAAAAATTCGCTACAGTTTTGGACATTTCTTATGTTGACAGATTACTATTAGTGCTTTTTCCCAGGACAGTAACTAAATTTTGGGGAAGCCGAACATTTTGTGATATAATTTATCTCACATGAATGTGCATCTTTGGATAATTAATGAGAATAAATTCAGTAACTAAAACCAGTTGTCTTAGGTTCCAGGGAAAAGCAACATATATCTTTGAGGACACTAAATTCTATTACTGAGTAACTTCTCCAATACAAATAGGTTTAACTTACCTAAAGAAGGTCATGTGTTTTAAGATATAAGAGCAGTTTATTCAAAACAGTAAATTCAGTACATTTATTCTTTTGTGATCAAGATCAAAATATTCCATAAACAAAAATAACATTAGTAAAATAACAACTTTCATATCTTTGAAGAGAACATTTAATAATCAACACTTTACATCACTGTAACAAGTCTTAAGTTTGACTCGGGATGAGTCATCAGTAAAGTATAATTCAAAATTTACTAGCATAAAAATGTTCTTGACTAGAGGACATACAGGGTTCCTTTTAGAATTCAGTTTTGAAGATGAATAATTATTTTTCTGAGTACTTTAAAATCAGTGAAAAATGGAGGGAGAGTCTAATTTAAAACGTCTTATCACAAGTGCTATGTTTTTGTAGCGTTCCAGTACTCAAATGCAATCTGTAGCTTAGGAACAGACTGAATTCATAAATGCATGCACATGGATCAAAACAGAAATCCTCCAAACTTTGATATAATCATTAACGTTTGTTGCTTTGAGATCATAATGAACCCTTTTAAGGTTGCAAAACGTTGCCATTAGGCATTTATGGGGTGGGGCAAATTTCTACCCGACAAATGCACAGCAGACTGGAAATAACGGGTAATAAAAACGGGAAAGCTTCAGACGTGTCACAGGCACTTTAATAAAGTTTGGTCGAATCTGCATCTCTTAAGAAATGGCTGACTCGTTCCAAATCTTCGTCTCAACTCCAGTTGAGCAAACCGGGCAAGGTACTAGTACAAATGTAAAATGAGTTACAAGAAAAAAAGAGAAAGAAAAAAAGAAGTTGGGTGTCCCTTCTTGGAGGTCGAGGCAGAGAAACAGAAGCCGCAGGTCTGATGCTGGGGTGGAGATGAGAGGATGCCGAGCCGGGTGGGGCCGGAGGGGGACCAAGACAAGAGCAGGGCGACCACCGGAGGCCGGACAAGGGGCCCATGCGGCCTAGCGTCCACTTACCAGGCCAGGCCTAGGCACATCCCCAGTGACAGGAGACTCACGCCAGTCCGGGGGTCCACCCAGCCCCCACTTCCACTGTCCCGGGACTCTGGGCTCTTCCCGCTTTCGCTCCGCTTCCCGGGATCCGCGGGGGCTCCCTTGGGCCCCGACTTCTTCCGGTTCTTCACCTCGGACATGTTAGGAGGCCCAGAGGATAGCAAAGCCGGGGCGGACCCCACACTGTCAGGGAGCGGTACGTGGCCGCCCTAGCCTCCGCTGGGAGCCTTGGTGGTGACCACGTCCCCGCCCAGATTTAGCACCGCCCAGAAATCAGCCCTCTTTCTCTTCTGGCCATCCCCGCTGCTTCACTGAGTTCTTCCATCTTCCAGCAGAGATAGGAGGAGGTTCACCCAACCTCCTTCTCCCTCTGCGTTAAGGATTCAAGCCCCAGGAAATCTTAGCCGCCAGGCCCTGGCAAGCCGCGGGATCGCCGGGGCGCAGGGTAGGGCAGCGCTGGCCTTGTCCAGAGCGCGGCGCGCCCCATTGGTTTAGCCACGCCCCTGCCGTGGGCTAGGGCGCGGGGAGCTTTTGCGCGCGCGGGCACAAAGCCGAAGCGGGAGCGCGCGCGGCGGCGGCCACCCTAAACAGGGCTTCGAGTGTGTTTATTTGCATGCGCCGGCGCGCTCAGTCCGGCTGGGCGGGCTCGGCGGAATTTGTCCGCTCCGCGGTCTCCAGCCAAAGAAGAGGTGGTGTGAAGTAGGCGCGAATGCCTTATACCTAGCCCGCCAAGGTGAGGCAGGGGTCTGGGTCGTCACCTCCCCGCGGGCACTTAAAGCAGCCGCCGTAGCGTCGGGAGTGGCACCGGGCACCCAGGGTGCAGCTGCCGCCTGAGGGGAGGAGGGACAGTCCGAGTGGCCCTCGTTTCTTTGTGTCTAGGGTGGGGTCCACCTAGAGGGCGACCCAGGGACCAGGCCTTGCCTCGGCGCCCCGGAACTGTGTTGTCCGCTTGTGGAGGTCACGCCTACCTTTCCGCGGTTCCGAGGTCCCTGGGAGTCTTCGGGCACCCTGGGCTGCGGAAGCCCAGGTGAGGCACCTGGGAGACTTGGACTTGTCCAGGGGCTGCGCCCCAAGTCCTGCTGCCTTTCGCAAGTGCCCGTTATCCACTCCCAAATTTGATTTCCAAGTCTGTCCCCACAGGGCTGCTTATCCCAGTAAGATCTTGGTGCAAAGGTTTGGGTAAGTTTACGCCTCGTTTTTCTTCCCGAGCCGGTTCTTCGGTGGTTCTGTATCGATTTCAGGGACTCAGAATTGGGGGACAAGGTACCTCTTCTACCAGGAAGAGAAATTATCTAAAGAGGAAGTAGTTGACTATTGACGGTTTTCCTGGATGAAATTGCCACTTTTTTAGAAAGAAAAATATATTTTACATCTCTGAAGACTTTGGACTTTGCATTTTGATGTGGCTACAAAAGATGGGACACTGAGAATTCGTTCCGGGTATTTCAGTTTGTGCACTTTGAAACTTACGCATTTTTAATAGGGCTAGGAAAAGTTGGAAATTAGTTTCAGATTGTCAGAGTTCATAGTATCTATTTGCTAGGCAATTGGGCATAATTTGAAAAGTTCATTTGTTTAGTCATATTTTTATTACTAAAAATTAAGGGATGTTTTATGTTTAAATTGAGATAATAAAAATATTATTAACACGTGAAAACATTATGCTCATAACTTTTTCTTTTGTCAGTTTCATGCCAGGGCAGGGCATTCTGTGAACCTCAACAAACATAGGCAAATGCTCTACTTCCCTATGTTTGCAAGTGCCATGTTTGGTGGCACTTTGAAAATGTCATCATTGAAGCTTCATGATTATTGCTCCTTTTCTGTGCAATTTAAATTTCTTGTGCTTATCTCGGTTTTTGCACTTAGACATTACATTCTAATTATCTCTTTATTTTTTTTCACTAGATTGTGAATTCCATCAGGGATATGATTTATCCTTTTCTGTCAGGGCCTGGCTCATAGGAGAGGCTCAAATGTTCACTGAATGAATAAACTAATAAACACATTTACATACTCCTTTTAATAAATACATTGGATAGAGTTACTGTTTTAAAAACTTGCAAACATTCTGATCTGGGTTGTATATCCATGGAACAAATTGCATTCTCTTTGAAATAAAGTTGGTAGAAACTTAGAGTATTACACTGTAAAGAATATGATTTTTTCTTCGTGGTCTCTTAATCTAAGAAGTGACACCAGAGGGTATTTTCTGTCGCTTTGTCATTCTTAGCACCTCAGCTGAAACGTTAGTGGAGTGAGCATATGAGAAATGTGTTTACCATTGAAGATGTAGAGCTGATGCAGACCTCGAATGAGAACTAATATTTAACCAACAGTGTTCTATTTAGTCTTATGTTGAATAAAGAAAACAGGGAGTTTTTAAACATTAGGACTTAAGTATGACCACTGTTTATACATTTTTTTAAAAAGGAAGTTTTTATTGTAAAAGTGACAGTGTATATTGAAAAAATTAAAACACTATAGAACAGTACACAAAGTAGACAAGGAAACAACTTTCAAGTCTTGCTACTTAAAAGTAACCCCAACATGTTGTTGGGAACAAACCTCTTAACGATCTCCCTGTGTGCTTACATATTGCCCAGCACGTCTTTTGTGCTGTACATGGGGTCATCTTTCTAAATTTTTCAATCAGCAGTGTGACATTAGCATCTTTCCATGTCTGTTCATGGAGGTGTGTTTTATTTTGAATGGGTATATAATATTCCATCCTAAATACATACCCGTTTTTTAATCCATACTCAAATGGCGGGCAGTTTGGTTGTTTTCATTTTTCTTTCTCACCTAAGCACTCTATTACCACTTTTTTGTGGATGTTTTTTGCATGTACGTGTGAATGTTTCCCCAGGGTAAATTCCTAGAAGCGACACTGCTGGGTTAAAGAGAATGCTTACTTTTAACACTTTTGTATCCTATATATTGACTTCCAAGAAAGTTGCATCCATTTTGTGCTCACCTTAAGTAACGCATAAGAATACCCATTTTCTCACACCTTTGAAGGCATTGGTTTTTGTCCATTTAAAAAAATCTTCACAAAAACAATTTAAAAAATATTTTCTGATTACCAGTGAGGTATACATTTTTCATATCTCTGTTGGCCTGACATGTATTTTGATGTTTGCCTGTAGCTCATGGTTAACAGCTCAGAGAGAGAAACATTTGAGGGAGGATGGATGCAAAAGCTCGAAATTGTTTGCTTCAACATAGAGAAGCTCTGGAAAAGGACATCAAAACATCCTACATAATGGATCACATGATTAGTGATGGAGTTTTAACGCCCTCGGAGGAGGAAAAAGTAAAAAATGAGGTAAAGCCCTCTGTGCTTTCATCCAAATTTTTATAATTTATGTCTTGGTTGGTTGGCTGGGTTGGAGTATCATCCTACACACCAGAAGGTTGTGGGTTTTATTTCGGTTGAGTGTTCGATCCCCTGTTGGAATGTGTATGGGAGGCAGCCTTTTAATATTTCCCTCACATTAATGTTTCTCTCTCTCCCCCCTCCTTTCTCTCTAAAAATCAATAAACATATGCTCGTGTGAAGATTAAAAATTTTTTTCTTTGAATTTATTTTAGCATTTGCACTGGTCTCTACTAATTTGTTGCAAACATATTGTTTGCATTATGCTAAACTACTACTTTTTTTTTTAGCCTACTCAACAGCAACGAGCAGCATTGCTAATTAAAATGATACTAAAAAAAGATAATTATTCCTACATATCATTCTACAATGCTTTACTACATGAAGGCTATAAAGATCTTGCCGTCCTTCTCCATGGTGGCCTTCCTGTCATCTCTTCTTCCAATGGCAAAGATTCAGTTGGTGGAATAACTTCATATGGTTTGTATGGATAATACTTCTCTCAAATGGCAATCGCAATGGCTAATTGCTACAGTTTTGTCTTATTCTTGATGGAGTCTGTTGAAGACACTGAGCAGTTCACTGAAGAATGCATGTGAAAAAGTTGTGGTTTCCAATCTGAATATTTTTATCTGCTTCTGTATTAACTCACTTTTCTTGCCCAGTGAGCTATCTGCTACCTAGGTACTAATAGATATATCCTAATTTTTAGAGATAACAAGACAATATATAGGCCTTTATTTAAGTTCCTCAATTCTGTGTTTATCAAGTTTATGCATAGGAAAGAATAAAAATGTTTAGAAATCTAAGTTGTTGAAAGGAATTCCATATTCCTCCCTTTATATTCTCCTTTTCAATCTTTAATATGAGAGAAAGATTGGAGTCAGAGAAGAGTAGGGTACAGGGGTATATAGATGGAGATTTCCATTGTCTGTAGTCACCTTGGAAGGCATATGTTTGCTTTTATTCTGCTTTTTTTCCTGAGAAATCAGTTGAAGTTAATATGCTGGCCACATTTTCTTCTCTTGGAAATTCTGGAGCCAGAGCCTCTCAGCCTTATTCTCGTTGGTTATGATATTATTTGAGTAACCACTTCAAAGTTTTATTCATACTCATTTTGTTTTGGATTTCAGTGAGGACAGTCCTGTGTGAAGGAGGAGTACCCCAGAGGCCAGTTGTTTTCGTTACTAGGAAGAAGCTGGTGAATGCAATTCAGCAAAAGCTCTTCAAACTGAATGGTGAACCAGGATGGGTCACTGTATATGGAATGGCAGGTTGTGGGAAGTCTGTATTAGCTGCAGAAGCTGTCAGAGATCATGTCTTCTTAGAAGGTAAGTTTTGATTACCATATGTTGCTGGCTAAGGAGATATTCTTTAGGCATTATATTAGTTTCCTATTATAACAAGTTACCAAAAATTTGGTGGTTTAAAATAACACAAATTTATTATCCTATAGTTCTGGAGGTCAGAAGTCCAAAAGAAATCTCACTCACTAATTTCAAGGCATAGGCAGGACTGAGTTTCTTCTGGGAGGCTCTGGGGAGAATTATTTTCCTCGTAGCTTCTAGGGTGGCCTGCATTCCTTAACTCATGGTCCCTTCCTCCATTTTCAAAGCTGGCAGTGCATATAGCATTTGCACATCTTTCTCTTTCTCTCTGATCTTTGTGTCTCTAATCACATCTCCTTCTCTGACTCTTACGTTCTTGCCTCCCTCTTATAAAGGCCTTTATGATTATATTACCACAAAGATAATCCGAGATAGTCTCATCTCAACATCCTTAATTTAATTGCATCTGCAGAATCCCATTTGCCATGGAAGGTAACATTTACAAATTCTGTGGAATGGGACGTGGACATCTTTGAGGGGTCAATTATTCTGCCTACTGTAGGTATGATGAAATTTTAAATTTATTTTCATCCTAGCCTGGCACAGTGTGACTTGGCCAGCCAGGCAGGTAAATTCATATGTTATCAGATGGCACTTATTATTACTGGAATTGAACTAGTTCCCTTATATCTTAGTAATTGAAGGGATTGTTGAGTTGAAAAAAAATCTCAAAAAGTTATATCCCTGCCTTTCAGGCAGTATTAGGCTCAGACCTTCCTGTAAGTTGAGTGTCTGTTTTGGCATAGAGTCCTGTGGGGAAGGAGATTCTTGGGAGCTCAGTTCTATGAATTCCATTTCTGTAATTAATTTTATTAGTTGCTTGTCTTTAAAAATAAAAATCTTTAGTAATTTGTCTATTTTATGGTAAGCCCCAAGAAAAAGAAAAATGGGGAGTTGACTATAGCAACTAATAGGTTTTTGTAGGTGGGTTTTACAGAGTCATTCAATATCTGGTGATTGAATGACTTGTTTCAGGTGTTGACAGAGTCGCTAAATGTTGGAGAGCCTCTCGTGGGGCTCCAGCACCGCCTGGGGCACTGGGGGTCCAACAGGAAGGCGCAGTCTGTGCACCTAAGGGATTCACTTACATTCCAGCAGGGGAGATGGATATGTAGACAAATTATGATATGTGTGATAAATTGAACAGCAGAAACAAGTGTAAGGCACAAAGTTAGAACAAAGGAAGGAAGTGTTATCTCTCTAGGAAAAGAGGATGGACAGGATAGGCTTCCTGAATGAGATGACTCAAAAAATTTTTTTTCATTATCACCTGAGGACGTTTTTTCATTGCTTTTAGAGAGAGGGTGGAAGAGAGACAGGGAAAGAGAAACATCAGTGCGAGAGAGAAGCAGCGATTGGCTGTCTCCCACATGCCTCTGGACCTGGGATCGTTCATAGCAGGACTGGGCACTGGTCTGTAACCTAGGTGTGTGCCCTGACTGGGAATCAGACCCACAACCCTTCAGTTATGGGACAGTGCTCCGAAAAACTGGACCATACTAGTCAGTATGGTCAGAGCTAAATGAGGTGACATTTTAGCTCGAGTTTGGAGGAAGACTAGAAGTTTGCCAGGCAGACTAGGTAGGGATGGGAGACTATTGTAGGTGGGCAGGGTAATGGATAGTTATGGGCATGGGGAAGGTCCTGCTGTGCAGAAGAGGATTTAGGGCACTTGACAGGGCTACTCCTGACCTTAATGGGTCTGGTAGGTCCTCAGGGTATTTGTCGGGAATAGTTGTATAGCTCCCTCAGTCTTTGGTTTCCTCTCTTCGTTACTGAGGTCTAGGGGAATTTAAGGATAGTGCCTGACTTCGAGTTGTTAATAACTTATTTATAATACATAATTAGTTGTTAAGACCCTTTGTGATGAGATAACAGGATGAATGGAATAAATATTAAACCTCTAAGAGACTCAGAAAGGTGGAGGTCAGGGCACGTCTGTTGTGCACAGTGGCTTTGTTTATACTTCAAGCTGTTGTCAGTAGTATTGGTCTTACTCTTGTTTAAGTTGCCCAGTTCCTAAAGCCTGATTTCCCCCTGCTATTATTGTAGAGAAGTTTCCTCAGACTCAGCTCTATGCAAATCTCAGGGCTAAGAATTTATTTATTTATTTATAAAAAATTTACTTTTTATTGATTATGCCATTACAGTTGTTCTATTCCCCCCTTCATTCCCCTCCACCCTACCCCCCTGTCCCCACCATTACCCCCCTTTAGTTTATGACCATGTGTCTCAAGTTCTTTAGATTCTATATTTCCCATACTATTCTTGCCCCCCCGATCTATTTTCTATCTACTGTCTATGCTACTTATTTTCTGTACCTTCTCCCCCCTTCTCCTCCCTCTCACTCCCCTGTTGCTAACCCTCCTTGAGATCTTCATTTCTATGTTTCCACTCCTGATCTAGTTGTCCTTTTAGTTTGCTTTTGTTTTAGGTGTGGTTGTTAATAACTGTGAGTTTGTTGTCCTTTCACTGTTCATATTTTTTAAACTTCTTTTTCTTATATAAGTCCCTTTAACATTTCATATAATAAGGGCTTGGTGATGATGAACTCCTTGAATTTGATCTTATCTGAGAAGCACTTTATCTGTCCTTCCATTCTAAATGAAAGTTTGCTGGATAGAGCAATCTTGGTTGTAGGTCTTTGTATTTCATGACTTGGAATACCTCTTTCCAGCCCCTTCTTGCCTGTAAGGTCTCTTTTGAGAAATCCGCTGACAGTCTGGTGGGGACTCCTTTGTAGGTGACTGTCCCCTTATCTCTTGCTGCTTCTAGGATTCTCTCCTTCATTTTAATCTTGGCTAATGTAATTATGATGTGCCTTGGTGTGTTCCTTCTTGGGTCCAACTTCTTTGGGACTCTCTGAGCTTCCTGGATTTCCTGGAAGTCTATTTCCTTTGCCAGATTGGGGAAGTTCTCCTTAATTATTTGTTCAAATAAGTTTTCCACTGGTGGCTGTTCCTTTCCCCCTTCTGGTACCCCTATAATTCGGATGTTGGAGCGTTTAAAGATGTCCTGGAGGTTCCTAAGACTGTCCTCGTTTTTTTGAATTCTTGCTTCTTGACTGTTTTCTGTTTGGCCATTATTTGCTTTCTTCTGGTCCACTCCATTGATTTGAGTCCCAGTTTCCTTTTCATTGCTATTGGTGTCCTGTGCAATTCCATTCATTTCAATTAGTTTCGCCTTCATATATTTGTCTAATTTGTCGGTATAATCAACCAGTTCTGTGAGGATCCTGATGACCAGTGTTTTAAACTGTGCGTCTGAGAGTTTTGCTATTTCTTCATCGCTTAGATCTATGGGCTCTGGGGCTTTGAGATCTTCTTGCGACATTTTTGGTCTGTTCGCGCCCTTTAAGTGTGAGAAGCGGTGCCTTGGACTCCCGGGTGGTTGGGTTGTGACGCTGTATGTGGGGGTGTGGTCAGAGCGGGGAAATGGCGGCCCCCTCTGCTGTTTCTTGCAGCTGGGTGAAGAGCAGAGCTTCAGGTGGTTCACCAGGGCGGGGCCACTCAGAGTCGCTGGATTATGACGCTGTATGTGGAGGCGGGGTTAGAGCAGGGAAATGGTGGTTCCCTCCGCAGCCACTTGCGCTGGGGCTGCAGGCTCTCGTCCAATTGCCCACTCCCTCGCTTGTCTATCCGCACACCAATGCGAGACCACAGTCAACCCGCAGCCCTGCTCCCTCGCTGTTTCCACCAATGCGAGACCACAGTCAACCCGCAGCCCTGCTCCCTCGCTGTTTCCCCGAGGTCGCTCGCTGAGTTGCCCACCAGGTCCAACCCTGCGCCTGGATTCCGTACACCTGAGTCCGTCCGACCGAGTTTTCCTGTGCTACCTCGCTCTGCCAGCTGCTGGTTTCGCCCCTCTTACCGGTCAGGCTGAAGACTTTGGTGTTATCAGACTTCCGAAAAGTTCAATTTTCTGTGTTCTGGCTGTGTTTTCTGTTGCTATTATTTAGTTGTCTCTAAACTTGGTTGTGTGAGGAAGCACGGCATCTCTACCTATGCCTCCATCTTGGTGGAAGTCCTGTGTGTAGAATTTATTTTTATTTATTTTTACTTCTATTGCAAAGTTGATCACTAAGGATATTTCGGGGTGAAATTGGTTTGTTACTTTAGTATAAATGGGTTTTTCTTTCAATATTATGATGAATTATTAATAAAATATACATTTTTTATATAGCATAGAGAGAGATTTATTAACCATAATACACTCCACAGAAGATGGCAGTGGGCCAACTCTGAGTAGAGATTGACCTAAAATATACATTTATAATGTACTGATTTAGAGTCAAAAGTGTGTACCTCAACTCAGTTTAAGTCATTCTTGATTATTAGGGTATATTATTTAAAAATTTCTTGTAGACAGAGGGGAAGGGAGGGAGAAAAAAAGGGAGAGAAACATTGATGTGAGAGAAACATTGATTGGTTGTCTCTCGTATGCTCCCTGGCCAGGAACCGAACCTGTACCTAGGCATGTGCCCTGACTGGGAATCCAAGCAGCAACCTTTTGTTTTGCTGGATGATGCCCAACCAAGTCACACTGGCCAGGGTTATTGGATGAAAAAATTTTAAAAGATTTTATTTATTTATTATTTTTAGACAGAAGGGAAGGGAGGGAGAAAGGGAAAGAAACATCAATATGTGGTTGTGTCTCACACCACCCCTTCTATTAGTGTGTGCTCTGACTGGGAATCAAACCAGTGACCCTTTGGTTCACAGGCTGGTACGCAATCCACTGAGCCGTACTAGCCAGGGCTCTTGGGGTGAATTTTTAATTTTAGTGGTTACAGTTAACCAACAACTTATGGAATTAATTACCCAGGAATCATATTGTGTAAATTGTGTTCTTGGAATAGATTTTAACTATTTTGTTTTGAGAAAATGTCAGAGGTTGTAGCAATTTTCTGGTGCGTAGGGAGTGTAATTCGTATTCCTCATATG